TAGATTTTTGGCGAGTCAGAGGAATTAATCCTGATGCTCAAAGTGGATTTCATCCTTTCCATGTGGGGTTCAAACCTTGCTCCTCCAAAAGAATTAGCACGCTGACCACAAACTCAGCATGAGTTAAATAAGATAAAAATTGACACTTGTTATAAATCATGATGGGTAAAAAAAAAAATACTGTTTTGAAAACTTAAGGGAACTATTATGACGTCTTATACCAATTGTGTATGAGTTCACAGAGGAGATATAAGGATGACTACAGAGCTCATGTAGGCACTGTTGTTTTAGAGTTGGGGTCAGTTTCTAATTTGGCTTCTTTCTTTCAAAAATTCTTCCGAAAATTCTTTACTGTCAACAATAATTACACATTTTTGTGTTGAACTTCTTCATACGCTTGCCTTTGGTGGTGAGGAGAGGTGCACATATGGAGCTGTATCATGCTCTGTGCCGGAGTGAGTGCTCGTTAGCCACCGCTGATGTCTGAAGCTTGGAGATGTTGCACCATGAGGATGTTGTGTTGTTTTTTGAGCCTTAGGTTGCAGGTGAAGAAAAGTTTGATATATCTGTTCTGGATATTTATAGAGGTTTATTTACATGAAATTACTTTGAATTGCAGCCTATTTTCTCCCTGCCTCACCATTTGAGGGGTCTAGCTAGGGAAGGGAGGCAACCTTGGGTTGTGCTGCAGGGTCTCCTCTGGGGTACAACTTGACATGTTGGCCAACAACCCATCTGAAGAGCTTTCTGACTGATGGCTGTGCCTAGCTGTGGCCATCAAGTTATACATATGGAGGTCGTTAGAGGTTATAGGCTGTTGGTGGCTTTGGAGAGGCCAAGGCTTGGGAGCGAGTCCCCACATGGGCATGTCCCCAAAAGCAGAGGCACGGGGCTGCGGCGAGCACCTGGAGCTGGCCCAGGCACCGCGCCAGGACCACAGCATCTTCTCAGCAGCTTTACGGGAACATAAGCAGTATTTTCTCTTCTCTTTCCTGGTGTGACAAGTCCTTTGGAAATAACAGCAAAGAGATCTTTCAGGTATAGAGGGAAGAGGGGATTAAAATGGAAGACCAGGTTTTTATAGAAATCTGCACCTCTGTGTAATAAAATATTGAATGTTATGAAGTGAATTCAGCCTCATAAAGTGAATTTAGCCTCATTTTAGTCCTCTTAAGGTCAGAGGATGATAATGTAAAGGAAAACCTATTCTAGGCATTTCTTCAGGCAGTGCAGTTACTTCATTAGCCTTTAATTCTTCTCGCTTCTGCTCTCTGACAGCTTTTCAAATCTCAGGTTCCTGCTTTTTGAAATGCTTTGATGTGCTCATCTGTCTGACAAATTGTTTAAGGTCTTCATCTTAATTTAACATTTGTAGATACCCACAAAGAATTTTGTTAATGAAGTCTTTAAAATGCTAAATGAAGTTCTAGTTTTCTTCATGAATAAAGTTTTACCCTTGCCATTATTTTTCCTTAGGAATGGTGTTCCTACTTAACATCTAGAGAATTGTTATTCCTACAAAGCAGCAAGGGGCTTTTAGGGCTGGGGATGTAATTAGAACCATAGAATCATAGAATTGTCTGGCTTGGAAGGGGACCTTTCAGATCATCAGTCCAACCATCAACCTAACTCTGATACAAACCAACACTAAACCATGTCTCCAAGCACTATGTCAACCCATCTTTTGAATACCTCCAGGGATGGTGCCTCAACCACTTCCCTGGGCAGATGAGGACTTCCCCATTAAATGAGGATTTTCTATTTCTTGGCAGGAGGTGTGGGGCTTTTGTAAAAAGAATAAGAATATGACACAAGCCTTTGATACATCAGAGGCATGAGGGCAAAGCAGTTGCCTGACCTCAGATTAGGAGTGCTCCTGCAAATTGATTTATAGGACTCTGTTGTCTGGATTGAAGCCGTGGTTTTCCCTATCTCAAGTTTGGTGTAAGGTAATGAAATTGAACTGAGCTTTGCTCATAAACTGTGTTCATTAATTTTGGAGCTACTGACAATGATAGCAATCCAAATTCCTGAATCTGTAATGTGGGACTGATGGGAATAATTCATTGCAATTTTGGAGCCTGATTTGGCATTTCAGACCCATAACGCGAGGCGCAGCGGCTATAAAAGCCTCCTTGAGGCAAATGGAAGAGACGTATATAAGAGGAAAAGGTTGACATTAAGAGGAAGAAAACACTTCCAACAGGCTGGTGAAATTAGGAAGCCATGTCTGCCTGACTGTTTAGAATATTTGGGGCTATTATGGGAGCCCCTCAGAGGTGTTTAGGGACCGCTGCAGCCCAGAGGACAGACTGAACCATGAGGAGCACGTCCACATTGTCCTACATGCCCTCATTGACATTGGCATCTGCCAACTTCCAGTCGAGTCTGAAACTGCTTTCTGCTTGAATCACACACAGTATTTCTTTTCTGTAGTAATGTTTGCATTTTTTTTTTTTTAAATATCAAAAATTTAAAAATCTGGTAGTAGCTTTCCTGGCAGTTTGAATGCCAGTTTTAAGGCCTTTGTCATAACCTTGGTCATCAAAACGTGATCTCTTTTTGAAAAGCCCCAACAATCTTTTTTTTCTTTTTTTTTCAAGGGGAAACTTTGGGGGGAAAAAGTACTTGTGGAATGTAGAATTTGCTATTGCTTTTAATCTGCCAACAGCTGACAGTGTTTTGGTTGTTTGCTGCTTTTTTTTCCCTTTAAGTGCTTTCCCTCACAAATGAAATAATGCAAATACTTTATTTGCATTATCTAAAATAATGTAAAGTTATTCCGTTTGGCTGATGTGTTGGTTCTTCTTAATTTTGAAACAAGAAATATTTTGCCTCTGGCTGAAGTTAAGACTCAGCCCTGCCACTAAAAGGGAGACCTCTCCATCCTAATGCTGTCTCGTTCCTGAGATAGGGACTTGAGTGATCTTTAAAAGTGAGACAGCCACATCAAGAGGTTTGACAAGATTCATAAAAGTCCAATTAGAAAATTCATTTTAACGCTAGGCATCCGGTCCCTTTTATCTCCCAAGTAAAACCAATAAAAGTTTCATCACGTAACAAGTATATACATATTTATTGTGGAATTAAATAATTTTCGTGTGTGATTCATCTCCTTGTATAATAATTGATGCCCATTAAGGATTCTGACCAGGCCATAGCTTTGTCATAACGCAGTTTAGCATTCCGTGTGCTGTTCTCAATTGCCCTGAAATAAAACTTATTTTCAGGAGAGTTATGAAAGATCTTTTTTTTCAAGAGTTCATCTGTTTTCTGAGTAGCGCCGCCTTGGCACACACTCAAAAAACCCTGACTCAGCACCTTTACATTGAGGGTTTTTTTTAATGGCTCTTTTAACTACTTCTGTAAGTTGTATTCATTTTAGGATCGTATTATTTTCAGTTGGTGGTTCTCAGCCACGGGGAATAACCTCCTCCTCCCTGCTGCAATATTGTGAAAATTAAAATTTCCACTTGGCTGTTTGATTACGGAATATGAGTTTTGTGAGACTCGTAATGATGTGGACATTTACGGCGTGAGAAAATCCAGACGTAACATTCAGATGGTCAGCAGCCCTTTCCTCCCAATTCCTCCTTTTCCTTTCAATTCCCCTTTTTGTGGCTCTGGACCTGCCAAGCTGCAGCGTGTATTGCCCCATGGCAGACCTGGGGGAGCTGGTTCTTCTCCCCACTGCCAGCCCCTTCCTCCACCCTAGGGCTTGTGTGTGTGACACTGAGCAGCGTGCTGAAATTGTGCAGGACCTTGACATAAACGTGATATTTTGGGGTGGATGGAGGCGTGGGGACGGGGGCAACAGCTTCTCAAAGTGTGGGATTGTGGCCACTCCAACATCCAAGCGGCCCATGCTGTGGACTGGATGCTGTGCACCTGCAAAATTATCCATTAGGAAATGATTGGGAAAGGTGAATGAATTCTGCGAGGCTTATTTTAATTGCATTTATCACAATTACATGCCGTTCATTTAAGAGGATTTCAGGAATCTTAAATATAGCAAGCGGGGTTTTATATGAGCAAATTCCAGGGAAGAAGATACCCATCGTGCTCCCACTTGATTTCTTGGCCGTAATGAGTTTAGGACAGTTTTAAATTCCCAAATTGATGACGTTTAAAACTTTGCTGGAAGTTGCAGCTGCTCAGTTGTTAGTCCTGTTCACACGGGTCATTAGGGAGTGCAGCGTTTTGGCTGCCCCGTAAGAAACGTATTTCCATGAGCTCTAAATATTATTCATTGGTACTGACCTTGCAGTAACAATATTTCCCAGAGGAAACTCAAGTTTTAAGGCTTCATAATTTTCAGTGTAAATCACTCTGTAACCCTGCATTAAAGGGGAAAACCCTCATAAGAGATTTACTTCACAACTGTAATTATAAAAATAACGTTCTAATCTGAAAAAGGACAAAAAAAGACTAATAAATGGAAAAATCCAGAGAGAACCCCTTAACGTCTAAACCCAAGCCAGCCCAGTGACTCAGATATTATTCGTTGTTATTGCTTAGTGCTCTTTAAGAACTTTCTCAGGGACTGTCTTGAAAGACTAATAACTAAATGAAATAAGCTGCGCTTTGCCTGTCTTTGGTAGGCAAGGTCTTAAAACTAACAGTGCCAAGTGTAGCCTCATAGTCCTTAAACATTAAATAAGTATTTTTGCAAAGCAGTGGTTGTAAGAGGGGCCCTGGTGTGTGTTTCTTCACTCCTCTCTGAGCACTCGGCCCATTATTTTGGTGAGTCCCACCTGGAGGGACAGAAATAAGAATGCCTGTTCTGGTAGGAATGGCTCAGGAACTTTTAGATAGTGACAAAATTAGGCTTGTGACTATGAACTCCGGGGGTAAGTATGCTTCATCATTCCTAAACAGTTGTCTTAAATTCGACCCGAATGTTTCCTGCTGATAGAAAAGCTACTTCCTCCGTTTTTGGGTAATCTCCTGAGTCAGAACCTTACATGATGTCCGTGGGGTGGGCAGCGAGTGTCGCTCTGTGAAGGACAGAGGGAGCTAACCTGGGATTCGCCCTCCCCAGTGAGCCTGTTTGGAGGTCGGGCTCTCTTTTGGCTGCCTGCATGGCTGTCACCCAGGATTAAGAGCTGTCGACATCCCGGGGCTGCGGCGGGGGCTGCCAGCAGCTTGGATGAGGACTGCAAAGGACGCCTCAGAACGGTGTGGGCAAGGACTTCTGGGAAGATCATGAAAAAATAAAGTATGGCTAATGGACCCGAGTCCCGCTCTCTTCCCTTTTGGCAGTCGTTCATGGTAACTCAAAGTAAGTATAAAGCCTGGCGCCAAGACAAAACGCTAGTGATTTATGCTTGCTTTAAGAGATCGAAAAAGCCAAGAGGGATCTTTAAGGGCTTCCCTGAATTAATTCATCTTTGAACTAAAGCTGGAAGTTTCAGCCAGACCTTGCAGGACTGTAGCTGCTTGCACCATGGCTGTAGCACTGGGAAGCTTGAGCTCAGGGACCATCCTTGTGGCAGGGCTTGGGTCCAGCTGGGCACGGGGACAATCCCACCGGCAGGTTTGGGGGCTGGTTTGCAAGCTCAGAGCTGAGCAGGGGGAGAGCTTTGCTGGATGGGGCTGGGGGGGGCTCTCTCCTGGGGTGTCCTGCATCTGCTACCCCATGGTGACATCCTGGTGTGTGGGGACGAGCCTTGCTGAGCATCTGGAGACTCTTGAGACCAGCATGGGTCACGTTTGTGATGTTGAGCATAAATGATGTGGCAGAACTGCCAGGGCAAGGAGCATGTGGAGAGTTTTCCCCCTTTGGCAAGCGGGTCAGTGGGAGCCAGTGAGCATCAGAGACTGGAGGAGAGGGTATCTGAGCTGGGCCTGATGTCCTGCTCAACCAGGCACTGCCTCCTGTTTCGGGCAAGACCCCTTTGCTCCTGTGAATCAGCTGGGGGGGTGCTGGAGCGTGTCCAGAGGAGAGCCACCAATCTGGTGAGGGGTCTGGAGAACAAGTCCTATGAGGAGAGGCTGAGGGAACTGGGCATGGTTAGTTTGGAGAAGAGGAGGCTGAGGGGAGACCTCATTGCTCTCTACAGCTCCCTGAAAGGAGGGTGGAGAGAGGTGGGGGTTGGCCTCTTCTCCCCGGGGAATCATGACAGGAGCAGAGGAAATGGTCTGAAGTTGGGGCAGGGGAGGGTTAGATTAGATCTTGGGAAGAATGACTTTGCTGAGAGGGTGGTCAGACACTGGAACAGCCTGCCCAGGGAGGTGGTGGAGTCCCCATCCCTGGAGGGATTTAAGAAATGTGTAGACATGGCATTGCAGGGCATGCTCTAGTGCCCAGGATTGTTGGGTTGTGCCTGTTTGTGGGGGTTTTTTGTTTGTTTGTTTTGTTGTTGGGTTGTGGGTTTTTTTGAGATTGGACTCGATGATCTTAAAAGTCCCTTCCAACCATGAAGATTCTCTGATTCTGTGACCTGTGAAGTTTTTGGATCTGCCTTGTGTTCATCCTTGATGGCATCCTGCAGATCAATTCCATCTCCAGGAGGACGTGAAATGTCATGGCTTTTTTGTTGTTATTGGGTTGTTTGGGGTTTTTTTTGTATCTTAGTAACTTAGACCTGGTATTTGTATTTGAAATCAATACATTCAAAATAATCCCCTTCAGAATTAAAGTGGCATCTCATAATTTCTCTATTAAGATTTAAACCCATCATAGTATCTTAAATTTACATAAACCCAATATTTAAGCATTAAACGTTTCCTAATAACATGTAAAGAAAGCTACAGCCCGGGGAATTCTCTGGCTAAACACATGAAATTATGCTTAGTTGCAAACCATTTTAGTCTGGTAAAGTGGCTATCATCAGTCCTTTCTTAGGCAAAGGTGTAGGTGAGGTGAAGTCTCTTCTACCCCTTTGATCGCATTAGAAATCAGCAACAATTGGCTCAAGTCCCTAATTATGGAGATAATTTTCTTCATATGATGACTCTCATTTAAATGCAAGTCATGTTTGATGTTTTCTTTTGTAGCCAGTGCACCTATTAAAATACTTTTTTCTGTATTGTGAATTGAGTTCCAGCTTCTACCCAAGAGCAGCTTGACACAAATTGCAGGTAAAATTAATCATTCAGTAAAAAAGAAATGTAAAAATTAGGAAAAGGTTTAGTTGCAAACCAGTGTGATGTCAGCATTAAAAATAAAAATAAAAATTGAAGTTACTGTAGCAACACGACCAGTGGTAACTGTTCCCAGGCAATCAGAATCCCTCTTTTCCTTTGGGGGAAAGTTAACAGGTGACTGGGATTATAGAATTGTGTGTCAGGGGCAGAAAAGAACTGGTAAAATGTGGGGAGCCCAGTCGAACTTCACCAGTGAAGAAGGGATGTCTTCTGCTCTAAGGCATTGCAGGAAAGGATTGTTGTCTGCTTTTATTTTAGACATCTATTCCCTTTCTTATGCAAAGCATATATAACAGAGAGCATCATTAACCTTCCTCCCATTTGGGGAGGAACTGGTTGACTGCACCAAAATTATTACAGGTGATATATTGGGTAACAAACAGGAATGCTAATTGGAGACAATGTTAGAGGAGAAGTGTCTGAGGGACAGAGGGAAAGGCAATGCCTGCATCTGTCTCGTCCTCTGTGCAGAGGAGGGCTGTAAAAGGGAAAATGACCAAGGGCAAAGCTGAAGCCCCGTAGAATTGCTGAGGGTTTATGTGCTTGCTGTACCCTGCCTTGGTGGCAGAGAACCTGCCACTTTGCACCCAGATTAACTTCGGCCCCCGCCAGCTTCTGTGGGATGAAAACTTGAGTGTGGTGGAGAGTGTTATTGCCTGCTTTTCCTGGCTGAGAAAAGGCTAAATTGTTCACTCTTTGCTCTGCTCCATTCTATTTTCTTTCCTAAGTGTCTTCTATAAAATCTACATACCCCAAACTGCCTGTGCTGACATTTTAATGAGGAAGCAGTGATGTCCTCATACCCTGGGACTTCGAATGTCCCCAGTTGAGTCGGTGTAACTGACTAAAGGTAGATGATGGCAGGCTGACAGGTCTGTGCTGCTCTGAATTGCTTGATGCCCACCGGAGAAGATGCAGTTCTGTGTTAAAATTGTGCTGTTTCTTGTCAGAAGATGAAAATGAAGGTTAACCTGCCCTCTTATGAACGTGTGGGTGGGGATTGCTGTTGTGGGGTGTTGGGTTGGGTTTTTGCAGTGGGTTGGCTTTTTTCCTAGATCACCAAGTGTGCTGTTGGTTATGAATTAGAGGTTTTAAATCAGGCCTCTGGAGATATGCAGATATCTTCTTACTATCCCCTTACATGCCATTAAACCATTCAAAGGAAAACCGAAAGCCATTTTCTGTAAAATAATAATTTTCCTTTGCTTTAGTTAGCAACTATGGTCTACACAGTCATACTTTCAAAGATTAGAACAAATCGAAGTAACATTTTTAATTGTTTGTGGGCTAGGAGAGAAAAAGACCTGCAGTTGAATCTGAGATTTATAACCCTTGCAGTTCATTCTTCTCAAGTTACTTCTTCCCAAGATCTGTAACCACGGTATCGTCCCTGTTTCTGTCTAACAGTTAATTACATTAGTTCACTGACAAACTATTATTAAACAACTTCAGTCTGCTTTAATAGCTAGTTTTCTAATTAAATATCTGTAATGATTTTGTTCTCAGTCCTGGACTTCAGGCGTCTAATTTGTTGCTATCCAGTGTCTTGCATCTTTTATGTATTTTTTTTTCCTTCTCAGACATGTTCGTGGTAGGAGGCCTTTTCTCTGGCTGCGTGAGGGTATGGTTGGAAATACTGGGTCTGGGGCTTTAAGTATTTGTCTTAAATGAGGTTGAAACTGGCTCAATTTGAAAGAATAGTGTGAAGTCAGCATAGGTGGCTTTTCTTCCTAAAGCCATGGGAATCTCTGTGAGGCTCCTTGGTTGGACCCAGGAGAAGTCCAATGGGCTCAAAGTCACAGGCTCAGAGCTTTGCCTGTGGAAAGGAAGGTCTGGAGAAACAGGGCTTAAAGTAGAAATAAAAATTGGGGAAAAAAAAAAACTGAGTAAAACCCTGTTCTGTGTCTCAGCCACAGCAGTTTAAAATTGATATAAGGCTTCACCTTTTTTTTTGGTAGTTTTTTGGGTTTTTTTAAAGTTGAGTCTGAGTACTTGGGTAGCAGCTCCACTACAGTGTTACACTGAAAAATGTGCTAATAATGGTACAGAATCTTAAATACCCTGATATTATCCCACTACTGCACTGGCTTTAAACATTCGCACATTTCACGGGAACAGCATCTTAATTCTTAATTAAAATCACTAAGCAAATGCAGATTATATTTAACTTAAATATTTATAGAATTTGTTTAAGCTTTCAAGATAGATTAGACATTGAACAGCAAAACTGCTAACATCTGAATGATAATTTTACTTCTGAGCCCAATTAAGAAACTAGGCAGCAATACGGCTAATAAGTTGCTGTGTTTGAGGAAACACTTTATAATATATATACAGAGGACCTTTAAAAATGAGTGCTCTCAAGTAAAAGGGATATTTTAGAAAAAAAATTGTTACTTCTGGGAACACTTTAAAATCTTGCATCATCTCTGCTTTCTGGGAGTTGCAGTTATTCCCATTATCCTGAATACAGCTGCAAAAAATATATAGTGAACCAAAGAGATGAAAATATACCAACATGCCAATCCACTTGATTTTTATAGTGCTTAACATGTTAAATTGAAGCACATGATTATTCCAGTTGATTTTAATTAGTCAACACATATAAAGTTAAGCATGTGTGTAAATGTTTTCAGAGCATATATGTTTTCAGTGTAAGCCTGCATAAGGAACACTTTGCAATCTTAAGGATCTTCCTATCTATAAAGAAATTCTTTGTGTTGAAACCTCTCACAATCTATTCCCCCCAGCAATATTGCTGTGGGAATCCAGTATATCCTCTGACACGTCATTCTCTCCTATATGGTTCAGCCATGATTATCAGGGCACCGAGGTTTTGTCACAGATAAGTTCAAGCTCTTGCCTTCTCATTCCTCTTTTCCTCAAAGCCCGTTTTATTCCTGCTGCACCTTCTCACTTTGGGGGACACCTCCCCTATTGCATGTGTCTGTCGCATACCTGAAGGTGATAAGATCCTACGGGCTGTAGGGTGATTTAATGTTAACTGTAGGTTTCATTCTGCAAAAATGTTAATGTTCCCCAAATGACCTGGTATCTGTGAAATCTTTCAGGATTGGGTTGGAACCTTCTGGAGATCTCTTTGGCAGTGCTCCCGTGATTGACAGGCTCCTTGTGCCTTTCATACTGATGTTTTAACAGTACCTCTTAACTTGCCTTACGGTCTCCTGTTGTTTTTTTATTCTGGATTATCAAGTCTGTAAGAGCTGCAAGGTCTTTTCTGGTTTTCCTGTAATGCTACTAAATGTTATGTGAATTGTTTTAGATTGTATTTCCTGTCTATTTGTTCACTGCTGTTTAGGCTGGAATATAGCATGTGTTTAATTTTTTCTTGGCCTCATTACATTTCATTCCTCGCTTCACTTCATCGTCTGTCTTGTTAGTCCATAAATCTGATCTATTCTAATCACTGTAAATTCTCTGTTTCCCCAAGCTGTGTGTCACCAGCAAGACTAGTCACTTTGGAAATTGCATTCCTGAAAGGTCATTTTATAAAAGATAGAAGCGGAGGCACTGTGCCTTGCTGATGCTGGAGGCTGGGGGCTTGTCCCTCACCCTGCCCTGAAGGCTGCTGCTACAGCCTGCTCTCCGTTCATAGCCTGATCTTGGTACCTCTCACACGCCGAGATGGTCTCCAAGGTGGGTGCCTTCAGCCTCAAACCAGGAGCGCAGCAAAGTCCCCACTGGGATTTGTGATCTGTACCAAAAATGGTGCCATATTTGTAGGATGACCTGGTAAAGGACAGTTGCCAGTCACTTCTGTTGCAATAAAGACTTTCTGAAGCCAGATGTTTTGTGGTACTTAGAAGCAGACAGTGATGCAGAGCCAAGAACACGCAATGGCTGTTCTGCCTCAAGATCCTCTTATAGAAGAACACGCTGTGCGAGTCTGCTGAGCCTCATGCTTGGCTTTCTCCCCTCTTCCAAGAGCACCGATGGGTTGGTACTTGGTGTACTGACATGTCAGTAGGTCTGTGGTTTAGCAGAGATCAGTTACATTCAGTAACTTTCCCCTTTTTTCCATGCTTGTAGATGTCAGTGCCTCCACTACGCTCTTGTTTCTGTGCTGATCCTGCTTTGGGGCTGGGTTGGTGTTGCAGACTCTGTGGGCTGCAACCAACATGCATCTGATGATGGCCTTCCTTGTACTGCTGCTGCTTTTCCTTCTCCTTCTCACTCATTTAGCACTTATGCATTCTGTTAGATACCCACAGGGAACTCCTGGGCAGAGATCTCCATCTTTCTTAGATGCTGTACAGCCTGTGGCAGAGCGAGCTTCGATGCTCTGGGGTCTGCATGAGTGTGTAGGGTACATGGTTGAGTTTCATCACTTTATTTTCTTAGGCTGTGCAGCAGTGATGTTTTGGAGGAAGAGCTGTTTGGTTCCTCAAGCTATCAGGCTCGTCCCTGGCCTGGGCTCCAGAGCTGGACTGACTCCCCTCTCCAGCCATGCCATCTTCCATCATACATGTAATGGCTAAAGTACACGCGTGCAAAGGGATACTGTCGACTGAGTTTGAGATTCATGAATGAGAAGAACAGTATGCAGGCTAGATGCTAGTATTTGTTTTTCTTCAGTCCCTCCATTCTGTTTTTTGTGTGTTTCTGGTGTTTCAGACGGGTGTCTGATGAAGCTGTAGACATAACCACGGAGAACAAGCAGAGATGGACACACGCCAAGGTTTGGCTGGGTTACTGAAGGGCAGTTTCCAAAAGCGTGTCATACTACTATAGCAAAATTCAACTTTGCTGCTTCATGGACTTTATAATTAATTCATGTATTTATTTAATTTTGTGAGCTTGACCAGCTTTTTATGACCTTTTGAATTTGTTTCTATTTGTGGGTGACTCAGATTACTTACTTTTCTAGCCCGGGGATGCTGCAACATCATGTGTCATGCTATACTGGCTTTGATAGTCCAATGGTGACTACAGAAGGTAGAACTTCTCCCCGTTGCACAGTAATATGCCATTATATTCCCTTCTGCTAATTTGTCAGATATGCTACTTTAATTACAAAAGTTAATGCTTGGGGATCTCATTGCTGAAAAGCTTCAGTGATGGCTTAAAGCTTCATGGCTGGAGCTGGCTTGTTGTGTTTGCAGAGGAGCAATTCAAACAAGCACGAGCTTGCGTCACTTGAACCCAGAGAAGAAATTCAGATGTAAACCAGACTAAATAAACAAGTAAAGTGGATTGGATGGAGAGTGGCGTGAGCTCTTGCTGGTGTTTGTGTGATGAAAGCTGCTCGTATCTGAAGCTGTTAATTGTGGGCAATTTCTGCTTGGTGTTGTGAGGTTTGAATTACCCAGAACTGTGTTTGATGGTAATATACTAAAACCACAACAAATTCTGAGTAAGTCTCAGCTGACCAAGTCATCCAATTAATAGGATTTTATCTAATGGACTAATTTAATGGGGCTGTTTGAAATAGGCTGTGTAGAAGCCACAGATAGCTTTAAATTTCAGGGATGAACATCATTGTTCATTCCTCCCTCTCTCTCTCTCTCTTCCCCCAAAGGTCTCCCTGGCGTATTTGAGTTTCCTCCCTGGTGAGCAGTTGAGCTCAGTGCCATCCACAAGTGCAGAGCGCTTCGAAGGAGCCCGCTGAAGGCATGGCAGCAAGACCCTGAGTCACAGCAGAGCTCGTCACCATCCACCGGCCTCCAACCCTCCTTGGAGCAGCTGCCAGAGGGGCTGAACTTTGGTGTTTCCTGCTGTGCTGCCCGAGACCCTTTCTGTGTTAGCAAAGGCTGATGGAAACCTGCGTGTAGGTGGCTCCGTGTCCGAGCGAGACGCTCTCCTGGCGTTGGTCCCTGCCATCCCCGCTGCCTCCCCACGCACCAGATGTGCCAGCACCTCCAAAGAGCTTCCCTCCCTCCCTGCGGGTGCTCTCTCTCCAGGAAAAGTAAGTACTGGTCTGTAAATGCCGGGCAAATATATTACTATATGGTTGGATAAAACCAGTGCTGCTCCTCGGGGGTAGGTAAGGGGAGAGGGCAGCCCAGAAGCCTGGCAGTGGCTGGGATTGTGGTGGGGTGGGAAAGTGCCAACGCCAACCCAACTGCCCCACGTTTGCCTGGCGAGGCAGCTCTCCCAGACGAGGTGAGCTGAGGTGAAGCCAAGGCTCTCTTTAGGAAGGCTTACTGGGCTTAAAATGCTTTGTTAGCAAATGCTGCTTCTGGCTTCTTGTAACTTTTAACTAGCCCCAGTTCGTCTCTGTCTTTATTTTAAATTGAAAGGTACTTTACCTAAAGCATTCTCATCAGCCAGACCCCGTGGGGTTCGTACATAGAACAGTTTAGAGTTCATCTGTCTCATTTCTTTACTGTCCAAGGTGAATCTCAGGGGACTAAAGCTCTGAACCAAGTGGCTTTAGGCTATTCATCTGGAAAACACAGCCACTTAGACCTTTGTAAAGAAAATAATATAGTAATCAGTGCAAGAGACCTGTCTCTAAGCCAACCCATTTGGAAAAATTGCCAGGGTAGTAATTACAAACATTTTATCATAATAATACTGATGATGCCTTTCCATTATTGCCAGCATTTCTTCTTCCCTGCGACTAAAGGATGGAGATGGTTTTGCATCTTCCTCCCTGGTCCTGCATTAGAAATGCTTTGTGATTTGTGTTGAGGCTGCAGAGCTGGGCGTTGAGCAGAGACGTTATTCTGAGAGTTTCCCTGCAGCCTCATGCAGCCAAAACCATTGGGAGGTGAGGAAGACCTTGCTGGGCAGCAAGTGGTGCCTTCCCAGCTCTGTACGTCCTCCTTCTGGAGCTGGAGAATGGACACGGGTCTCTGCTCTTTTGTCTGAAGGGGAAGAGGGGGCCAGATAGGTGGGTTTTGGCCTGCACCCCCCTCCTGCCAGTCCTTGGGAACACACTGCTGCCTGTGGGATGGCACTGGTCCCCTACCCTGCCCTCCAGATGAGCTGATTCTCATTAATCTCACCCAAACACCCACATTTCTCACTCTCTCATAAAGAATAAGTGGCTCAGTGTTTCTGTGCATTCTGCTGATTAGAAATGTGTGGTGACTCTTAGAACTTCTAGCTGGGGAATGGATGTGAGTGTCTGCTCTTTTGTCTGAAAGGGAAGAAGGGGCCAGATATGTGGGTTTTGGGCTGCACCCCCCTCCTGCCAGTCCTTGGGAACACACTGCTGCCTGTGGGATGGCACTGGTCCCCTACCCTGCCCTCCAGATGAGCTGATTCTCATTAATCTCACCCAAACACCCACATTTCTCACTCTCTCATAAAGAATAAGTGGCTCAGTGTTTCTGTGCATTCTGCTGATTAGAAATGCGTGGTGACTCTTAGAACTTCTATCTAATTTCAAACTTCAGGCACTTACCTTTATAATTTTTCTTCACTCTTACTGCAAACAAGAAAATACTTATTTGTGTTTCTTAGAACTTCTATCTAATTTCAAACTTCAGGCACTTACCTTATAATTTTTCCTTCATTCTTACTGCAAACAAGAAAATACTTACGTGTTCCTGAACACAGATTTAACAGTGCAGTTTCTGTACCTTCCAACCAGTGGGATCCCCTGGTGCTTGATATTGCACAAATATACAATACAGCTTTCCATTTTGAAAAGTTTACTGACAAACATAAAATTTGGTGTGAAATACTGCTTAAAAGCAAAGCGAAGGGTAGGCTGCTCTACAGTTGCAACATTGATCAGAAAATACTTACGTGTTCCTGAACACAGATTTAACAGTGCAGTTTCTGTACCTTCCAACCAGTGGGATCCCCTGGTGCTTGATATTGCACAAATATACAATACAGCTTTCCATTTTGAAAAGTTTACTGACAAACATAAAATTTGGCGTGAAATACTGCTTAAAAGCAAAGTGAAGGGTAGGCTGCTCTACAGTTGCAACGTTGATCCCAAGTTTTTGGCTGTGTGGCTTTTGATCAGTTGTTTATAATGCTTTGAAAGCACAGGTATCTGGGTAAGGATGGAGTTCCTGTGGCTGTGGCTGATGAGATGCTCGCTGCTGCCCAGCCACAGTTCCATGTTATTTAGAATCATAGAATGGTCAGAGTTGGAAGGGACCTTAAAGATCACCAAGTTCCAACCCCCTGCCCTGGGCAGGGACACCTCCCACCAGACCAGGTTGCTCCAAGCCCCATCCAGCCTGGCCTTGAACCCCTCCAGGGATGGGGCAGCCACAGCTTCTCTGGGCAACCTGGGCCAGGCTCTCACCACCCTCACAGCAAAGAATTTCTTTCTGGTATCTCATCTCAATCTCCCCTCTTCCAATTTAAAACCGTTCCCCCTTGTCCTGTCACTGCACTCCCTGACAAAGAGTCCCTCCCCAGCTCTCCTGGAGCCCCTTCAGATATTGGAAGGCTGCTCTAAGGTCTCCCTGGAGCCTTCTCTTCTCCAGGCTGAACAACCCCAGTTCTCTCAGCCTGTCTTCATAGCAGAGGTGCTCCATCCCTCTGAGCATCTTTGTGGCCCTAACTAATTTAGGCCAAACTTCCGCAGGGGTTTGCTCACCAGACTTGGTTGCTGTGGGCTGCTATGGGGGAAAAAAGACATGGGGCAGAGCTTCCCTTGGAGCTGGGAGCAGGGAGACAAGTAACATGGGTTCTTGTTTCAAACTTGGGGAATCTCAAGGGACCACTTCTTCCAGTAGTTCACAGCAAGGCAGGTCGGGCGCAGCACACGTATCAAATCTAACATTTTGCCATTTTGGTTTCATGTGATAAAGGTTACTGCATATTGCAATTTAAAACATGGGAAAATACAACAAGGAGCAGAAGTGATGTGCCTTGAGGAGCTGTGGTGTTACTTGTAGGCATAGAAGCCTTTTTGGTACCTTTCACAGACTGGATTACGTTGCTGGCAACTGTTTTCAGCATAGTTTTTTGAGCAATATTAGTGAGGAGGGAGCAAAAAGAAAATATGTTTAAACTGATGGGCTCTAAAGGCTCATCTAGAAGATTTTCATTAGCCTCATAAAGCTCCTGTAGACTTAATCTAAAAAATTATAGCAAAGATGGTTTATTTCCTTTTCATAGTCTTGTCTTTAAGCCTCTTGATTTTTAAGGTACTACCATTGTCCCTTAAAATCCAGAAAAGTATAATTATAAAGTTTTATAGACTAAAAAAAAAAGGTAGGTACCAATCTTGGAGAATGCTTTGGGCACCACTGTAGTACGGACACAGAGGTCTGCACACAAGGAGAAGACCCCAGGGGCTTCTCATGGGTAATGGGAGACCTGTGAAGGCTCAGGCTGCTGCAGCACATCTCCGTCAATGCAGGTAGAGATGGGATATTTTTTGCCCCAGTGCTCTGCTTGGGGCAAGTTTTGTCAAGTCCTGGATTCTCTAGAGATTTGGGGAGCAGCTGATCCAAGTGGCCAGAGTTTAATTTGAGAGAGACTTCTTAAGCAGGTAGGACCAGAGTCAGTGACAAATGGGCTGACATTGGCAGCAGAGGTAACCAGCGAGTCTCCAAAAGTTGGACTCTTCTCTTGTTCCTTGAGAGATTTGTACTATTTGGACAAGTCCATCAAAGAACAAACTTTAAAAATATGTTTATTCCAGAAATGGCATTAAAGAGGATGTGGAGGCTGTTATGCAAGTTCTGCTCAAGGAAAACATTTGCTTTTCCTCTCCTGGCAGGGATGGGAATGATTTGTTAGAATTTGTCTAAAAATTCATGATAAAATAACTTTCTGGTGGAGAAACAACAAAAAAAAACCCTTTAACAGCACCCATTATTGCTAGAAGATTTGTAATTTTGGAGAGGGTAACAGAATCACAGAATGATATGGGGTTGGAAGGGACCTCTGGAGATCATCCAGTCCAATCCCCCTGCCAAAGCAGGACCACCCAGAGCAGGTTGCACACAAAGGTGTCCAGGTGGGGTTTGAATGTCTCCGGAGAAGGAGACTCCACCACCTCCCTGGGCAGCCTCTTCCAGGGCTCTGCCACCCTCACAGGAAAGAAGTTCCTCCTCATGTTTAGACAGAACTTCTTATATTCAAGTGTGTGCCTGTTCCCTCTTGTCCTGTCACTGGGCACCACTGAAAAATTTCCATGAGAAATCCATGGTTACTGTCTAGCAGTAAAAAAGCTGTGAAGAACCACACAGTTATTCCTGAGGGAGCATTTCTCCCTGCCGTGGCTGCAGTAGAATTGTTCCATGCTTCTCTTGGGAGAGAAAAAGCTGCCCTAACCTGCTAGTGTGCTTCACGTGATGGTCTACAGGGTTGACCACCCGCCCTGCTCACTGCCTGGGGGATGTAGGTGGGGATGTCCTGACAGCAGTGTGCAGGGACCAAGAGAAAGGGAAGCCACCTCCAGCTGAATTTTACGCGGAGCTATTTGTCTCTGAAAGTGCCAGCAGATTTTAATTGCTGCTGCTGTTGTCAACAAGTTCCTCCTGCCTGTTCTGTAACGATTGAGGTCCTTGGAGGTTTTGGATCACTTATGTTTCTCAGCGTAGCTCCAGATTGTGAACATAAGGGTTGCATCAAGTATATTAAATAGTGAATTGAAAGGCCGAGGTTCCTTTCCTTCTGTGTGCTTTGGGTAGAAGAATTCCTGCTGACTCCATGTTTCTGCCCACTGAAAAAGATAACCTGGTCAGGTAGCTAAATGTTAACTCGAAGCGTGCCAGCTTTTTCACTTGACGTACAATTGCTCTTAGAAACAGCTGCTGTCTTGCTGCTCCCAGTGCCAGAGAGTGTTTTGTTTGATGACTTAATCAACGTGTTATTCTATCAGGAACCATTTGTGGATTCAAATACAGATGTAGGATGATAATTTTTGGGGAAAAAAAAAGTTAATTTCCTTGAATTCAAAAGATGCTCGTCATAAAACAGCCTGTGTCCTATTCCTGATGTGCTCTGAAGCCAAGTCCAAGCACGTTGTGCACCTCAGCT